TTATTGATTTTTTTCATGTGGCAAACACATTTATCTCTTTGTTAATGAAAACGTATCTAGGAAATAGTAAGATTGATTTATGGAGAAAGGTATGGGGAGGGAGGTGGTGCCAAGCTGGGTAGACTGTCCTTGGCCACAGCTGAAGGAGATGTTGTGGGACTTCCAGAAAGTGCGTGTGCATGTTTATTTGGAGGAAACTGCTCTCAGAGACAAAGGATGTTTGCAAAGGCTTTCTGCAAGGCAGTCTGGTGTGTTTGTAGGAGTCAGCTATGCTTTCAGCTAGGGGAGACTCCCAAAATTAGCATCCGGGCCAGGAGATATAGAGAAGCATCTCCCATTGGTCTCAAACTCAGTTTCCATAGGGCACAACTGAGTGAAAGATACGGGCTCAAAAGTAGGCTTGGAGGAAAGGCTAAGCCTTGCCATGGAAGGATTCCAACACTACAGGTTGTTAAAAGATGAAAAAGTAAGGAGATAGGCAGTAGACTACAGGAAGCCAGGGTCAGCTGCAGAATGTGCATGCTTGCAATGTGACACTTCATTAGTGAATGCAAACCCAGACAGGGCAGCCTGGGGAAGATTCTTTTAAAGACTTCCTTCCATAATACAGGCAATGGTGTTATAAAAGCATATGGTGTCACGTGGTAGCTACACTTGTGGTGAGCATAGCCTAATGCATAGGGTTTTTGAATCACTATGTCATACACCTGAAACTAATGTAACATTGTGCGTCAACTATACTTCAATAAAAATAAATAAATAAAGACATCCCGCCCCAGAAGCTTCCCTCACCCAGGCACTTACTAATTTCTCAGGAAAAACCTTGCTAGGCAGTTCCCATCATGGTTCACAAAAACAAGGGTCCATATGGCCTGCCAAAGGAGTTTTGGTGTCTCCATGCTTACTCTGGATTCAGAATTCCTCAGGTTGTCACTCTAGGCATCCTGGGTACCTAAAATGTGTACTGTTCACAAGGCAACCCATTGGATGCTGATAAAGAGGCATTTGCATGTACCTTGGCAATAACATGGAAGCAAGAAACTCGACCACAGTCCTCTTACTAGGAAGGCAAATGGGCAGATGCCAAGACAGGCTTCGATCTCATGAACCTAGAAAAGTCTAAAAAAGCTGCCTGTCCTCGGTTGCTTCCATCCAGGTGTGACCATCCCAGTCCCAACCCTGATTAGTCCTTTATACTGTTCTCTGTTTTGACCATTTGAACTGCTTATTGACAGCCTAACAGAAGGGCCACCATTTTTAAACATTGACCATGCACCAGACCTATGTCTGTGATCCTTAATCTTCACCAAATTTGTGAGAAAAGTATGAGTGAATAAAACTAGGGTCTCAGTAGGTGATTCTGAAACCTGCACATGCACCACACTCACCTGGAGGGCTGCAAAAGTATATAGATTGCTGAGTACCACCCCTAAGTTTCTGATTCAGTAGTACTGGGGTAGGCCCAAGAACTTGCATTTCTTCAAGGGCCCTGGGTGATGCTGATGCTGTGACTCTGAGGACCATTCTTCGAGAACTACTGGTCTACCTCAAACAGCTAAGGTATCCACAGGCAGGATTCACACCCATATCTGTATGATTCCAACACTGCATTGTGTTAGCTGATATGAATTGCCCCATGGTGTGTGTTCCAGATGGACCACCAGGGCCTTCTCCAGTCATATCTTGTCTTAATGGAACACCTTACCCCTTGATTCTCCATCTAGCTACCTCTACCCATCTTTCATGGCTCAGTTAACATTTTCTCTTCTACGAAGCCTTTCCTTAGCTCTGGCCATAGCCAGCTGCATCTCCCCTTTGCTTCCAGGGTCCCCCATGCAGAGCTCTATGTCAGCCCTCTCATGTTGTTTAGTGACTACTGTTTTACTCCTCTGACCATTCTCCCATCCCTCACTGTGAACCCCATGAGGATGCCTGCCATTCATTCCTTGCTGTGTGTGCCACGGTGCCTTACCAAGTGGCTATTCAGCAGCTGTTGGTGGGACATCTGCTTGAATGACTCTAACCAGTTGTCAGCATGCATGACTGAGGTTTATAGAGATAGCACCAGTGATGGGCAGATCTTCATCTCTCTGTGTTGAGGGTGCAGGGACACTTTCTAGAAGTCATTGCTGAAGAGACTACTTTGAGAAACATGATAATTAAGTGTGTTAGTGATGCCTTCTCCCAGCTAAGCATCCCTTGCTTATTCAGATGGGTGTGCTATCTGATGTGCACATCTGTCTTTCCCTGACTGCCAGTGTTGGCTTGGAGCCTGGTTGGCCCATTGCTCCTATTCTCTTTCATTCCTCCCCCTTTCAAAACTGATGAGAGGATGAGTGCCCCAAGGAAATAACGGCTTTGGTGTATGAAGAGTGGAGTCCTCCTGCCTAAACCTCTGAATGTTTTGATAGTGTTATTTACACAGAAGTATGGTGGAAGTACCTACTGTGTGCTGGGCATGTTAGTGAGCTTGGAAACTTTCCTTGAAAGAGCGTGTGTGCATCTGAGATAGGAGAGATCCCTCTGCATGGACTCATGGCTATGAAAGATGATATATGGAGGCCATGGGGCTGAGCCATGAGGCTGGCACAGCAAAAGGAGGTGGTGTTTGGGGGCGGGAGCAGTGAGGTCTACTGGGACAGAAATGGACATGAAGCCATAAACATTTGGGCTGCCTACTTGTCATCCAGAGATGATCCCCGAGCCTCTGGCCAGGGGCACCGTCATGAATAAATAGTAAGAGGCGAGAGGAAATCTCCATTTCAAATGTGGGGATGGAACAGTAGTGCTGAGCTCCTTGGCAGTTACGCATTCATTCCATACTCATGGAAACTGCAGTAATTTAGAGCAGTTCAGTATTTAGACTCAACTGTGTAATTCATCTTGATGTTTCCCATTCATCAAAGCCTTGTGTTTGTTTGTATTACCATGAGAAAAATAAAAAACGTGGGAAAAAAGATCCCCCCTTCCTTTCATTACAGGCAAATTACGACAGAGTTACAACCCTTGGGGCCCTTCAAGCAAAGGAACATCTTGCTTCAATTAGATATAAATAATGAACAATAATTAGAAAGATTTCTTCATCGAATTTGTTATTTTGTGTTTCCTTTCATCTGTAATGTATTGAAACAAACACTGAGCTCTGTTTCTGGGTCATGTAGCAGGGCCTAAAGGAACTCCATGGAGTGCATCTCCAAAGCAGGAAGAAGCACCCATTTTTGGCTCCTCTGTGTGCATGTTGTGAAGACTGGTGTCAGCCCTGGATCCAGTGCCATGGATGTAAAAAGGAGGCTGCCTCAGCTCTAGTCCTCCAGATTCCTATAGTCTGCCATGCAGAATAATTGCTACTAGTTACCGGCCACTCAGTTTGCGTCAGGCGCTGCTTTACAAGCTAAACACACATTATTTCACTTAGTCTTAACAGTAGCCCTCTGCCACAAGCTCTACTTCTAGCCCTGTTTTAAGTGTTTTGGAAACTGAGGCACAGAGAGTGTAGCTAACCTGCCAGTCCTGCAGTATCAGTGCTGGTGGAGCCAGGAGGTAAGGCAGGTGGTTGGACTCCAGAGATGTTGCTTCCTCTCACTCTGGGATGCTGTTCTCTCAAATCACAGTGATTTTATGCAGCCATAGAAACTGTACAAGGTATAGAGATGGCACAGGGAGGTGATGGCTTCACATGGGGAAGGGAGGCACCCAGATCTTCAGGGTGTCTGCAGAAGAATATCTGGTGGATGAGTGAGATAAATGGGTTCCAGGCTGAGGAAGCACCATGGTCTGGTGCCATAGATGGGGACTGTGTGGGATTTCTCATTTCAGCATTGGCTGTGGAGTTGCATGGAGGCAGGGGCAGCAGCTGGAGATGAGACCAGAAGATGGAGGGTTGGGTAGATCAGGTCGAGAAGATAGGATCTCCTCGTGGAAACGGTGACTCATGGAGAAGTGGGGATGATGATCCTTGTTGTTACAAAGCAAAAACAGATTTCCAGAAGAGAAATAAAGAGTGATTTAGTTGGAGCCTGGAGAGAGAGGCTGGCTCACCACAAAGCATTTGGGGATTTTTTTTGCCAGTTTATTCTATATGTGGCATTCTCTCAACACACTGAACCAGGTGATGCTCACTTAAGGCAAGTGAGAGCTTCATGCCAATTGGTCCTTCCTGGTCTGACTATTTTCCTACCCCCAAGAAAGCCTCTCCTTGACCCTAGCTCAGACATCTGCTGGTGGGCCTTCCCGATGCACTCCCCGCCTCCAACATGCACCTGACTTGAACTACCTGCTTCTCCTTCATGTACAATAAACCCAAGGCTCTTGGAAATGCTTTGATTTATCTCCACCATCTTTCAATAATACTTAGCACCTAAAAAATCAAGAGAATTCATATAAAAATCCAGTTTTCTTTCTTTATTAGAAGGCAAACTGAGTGGTAATGCTCAAAGTGCAACAAGGGGTGGAACCCTGGAAGAGCCACAAGTTTTGGAGGGGACATGCATATTCACTGGCACCACCTGAGTGTGTGCCTCTGCCCACACCAGTTCTAAGTGTCAGGGACTAGTCATCATCATCCATGTTGCCAACATGTATTTCCTTCCTGTGCCGTAGACATTGGAGTTGGAGACCTTTAGTATCCAGCCTCCCATGTTGCCCTGTCTCCTCTATTGTGATTGTCTGTCTATATATTTCTCTGGCTAGACTAGACACTCCTTGAGGGCAGGGATGATGTCTTATTCATCCTTTTGTCCCTTGATCTCAGCACAGGACCTGGTTTTAGGTATTCAATAACCTTACTGAATTAATCTACACTGAAGAAACATAACTGTGGTAGAATTAGGCCCTGATAAGTCATGCTCTGGGCTGAGGAACTCGAGCTATTTGAAGTTGAAAGTGATGAATGTGGATAGTGGGCCACAGCTGGTCTCGGTCTTCAGGAGGACTTTACAGCCCATTTATATCCCTGCAGTGTGCAACATGTACACATGCCTCACTGCCTTTTTGCATTTCAGGACATTCCAGGACCTCTCCAAACAAGTTGATATGTCTTACGGTACTGTCCGGGATTCTGCTGTGTATGAGTACTTCCGAGCCAAGGGCACCAACCCCCTGGAACAAGACAGCACATTTGCTGAACTCTGGAGGACCATCAGCAAGAACGGAGGGGCTGACAACTGTGTGTCCAGTCCTTCGGAAGGCATCAGGAAGGTAGGTGAGAGCTAGCCACCTAGCCACATGTGTGCTATGACTGGCTGTGGGCACCATTGTCTCCAAGGTAGGAGACACCTTCTCAGAGCAACTCCTTTGAGTAGCCCTGTCATCTACAGGGTGATTCATCTTCAGCCAGTTTGATAGAAATTTCTCACAGGCATCTGAGTGTCCATAGGAGATGCACACATTCTTTAGGTAGATGCCCATTCTTGGCAACAGAAGCAAAGGGGCTGCTCATTAAGTATATTCTAAGTTTCCAAAGGGTCAGTGAAGAGCAGGCAGAGTAAGCCCCCACATATGGACCTCCTTCCTCATGGGCCCATAGGATGGTAGCCCTGAGGAGCCTGCCCATCCCAAGCGAGAATACTCAGCAAAAGCAGAAGCTGAGGACCAGTTAAGAGGTGGAGGGACTGAAGGGACAAGGTTGAGGAGAGGGTGAGCACACTGTGGGCAGCCGGGGGTTAGAAAGGGGAAGACCACACCTAAGGGGCAGAAGGCCCAGAGCAAGGGCTGGCCAGTTGGGCCTGTCTGTGGAACTGTGCTTTGGAAAAGAAGTGTTCTTAGGGGATCGTGGTGAGGACAGCAAACCTAGGATGGAGGCCATAGTGGGGGAAACTGACAGAGAGCAGGGAGCGAGGAAGCCAGGGCCAGAGAGAAGAAGGACATAGTAGCAACCGTCATTCTTCGGCAGTGGGTTAGACTCTGCTCATTTATTTCATTTAATTGCCCACAATGGCCTGAATTAATCATTGTTATCCCATTGTACAAGTGAGGATCAGAGATGTGGGGTCACACTCCTAGTTAGGTCCTGATGCCTGGGGTTCCAAGCTGTGTTTGGCATTTACCCACTGTATGCTGCAAAGCCCCTAGGGGTCAGTGAGGAGGAAGATGGTAGGATGAAGGCAGGTGTCCTCTAAGGATGCTACTGGTGGTAGTGTCCTGCTATCCAGTGACCCTCACATGCGGTGCCTACTGTCCCGGAGGTCCCTAGTGAATGGTGTAAGAAAGACGTGCACCTGTGGCCAGGACTCCTGCCTCTGAGCAGACGGGCATTCCACCCTGCCTCAACATCTCCTCTTCTCCCTTCTGTTCTCACAGAGCAGTTAGCTCATGATGGCTTCTCCTTGTCATTTAGCCACGTGAAACAGTAGAAGGCGTCTGGGCTCTTAAGCCTGACACACTTGGGTGTGAATGCCAGCTCTGTACTAACCAACTATGTGAAGTGGAGCACACTGCTCTTCCTGTCTGGAACCTCTCAGAGTTGAGAGAGGCCCTTTGGAGGTCTCCTTAGAAAGGTAAAATATTCAGGGGTGCCTGGGTGGCTCAGTCAGTTAAGCATCTAACTTCGGCTCAGGTCATGATCTCACGTTTGTGAGCTCGAGCCCCACGTCGGGCTCTGTGCTGACAGCTCGGAGCCTGGAGCCTGCTTCGGATTCTGTGTCTCCCTTTCTCTCTGCTCCTCCCCCACTTATGCTCTGTCTCTCTCTCCTTCAAAAATAAATAAAAACATTTAAAAAAATTTTTAAAAAGGTAAAATTTTCAAAATTGTATGTTATGGTAAATTTTGAATGTTTACGTTGAACCAAGTGATACCTTAACAAAAATAATAGGCTGCAATGTAAATATGCTATCCCCATGCTTACAAGATTTATTAAAATCTCTTTGTTTTTAGTGATTTACAAAGGATGGCACTCTAACCTCGAGCTGCCAGGTCTTCCTTCATCCCTAATAAGTGACTCTCTGTGGTTGTAGGTGACCTCATTTGGAAGTAATGAATACAAAGTTGACTTAAGGCTTTTTATGAATGTAGGCCTGGGCCAAATGGCCTTTGAGTTTCCGCTCTCTGCTTTCTTTGTCTCTCATAGACAGCCAATACTCCCATCCATATAGCATTTTTATGAAGATTCATTGCAACAGTGCTACAAAAAGTACTTCTTAGAAAAGATGGCTACTTTTGACTTTATTAAACTTCCATTTGTCATAAGACACTTTAAAGAAAATAAAAAGACAAGTCGCACACTGGGAGAGGATATTTACAACGTGTTATCACCAATGTAGGATTAATATCAAGATGAGAGGAAGAACTTTTATAAAAGTAAGAAAAATTCAAACAGTTTAACAGAAAAATGGGCATAAGACTTACACAGGCCTTTCACAGAAGAGGGAATGCATATGGCCAGTAATTATAGGAGGAGATATTCAAAATCATTAGTGGTCTAGGATATGCAAATCAAGAACATAAAGGTATATCATTTTACACCAATTAGACCTGTATAAAATGAGAGGTGGTGGAGAGGACGGGAGTAACAGGTGGTTAATTGCTGGTGGGAGTGTACCCAGTACAACCACTTTGGAAATGAGTTTGTTATTCTCTTATAAAACAGAACATCCACATACCCTATGACCCAGTGATACCACGCCTGTGTATCTACCCAAAGGAAACTCCTGCATGCACTTCAGAAGTGAGAAAGGTCAGGGTAGCATTGCTTATAGTCAGAACCCTGGAAACCATCCAAATGAGCTTTACCAAGATAAAAAAAAAATATATGACCTGCAATGAAATGAATGGACTACAGCTTCATGTAATAGCATGGATGAATCTTAGCAGAATAACATTGAGTCAGAAAAAGCGTTCAAGGCAGTTTCATATGGATCAATGAATAGAAAACAACATACGACTTAATACCCATGTAAAATGTATAAAACACACGCATACACACATCGAAAGTAATGATAAAATACAGAATTCATGATAGTGGTTCATATAGATGCAAGAGGCAGAGCAACAGGGAGGAGAAAAGCAAATGGTTGAATCGCAAGTCAAGGTCAGCGTTAGCTTTAGATTCACGGGGTTTTTTAATTTTTTTTTCATTTCTCATTATAATAAATAACTAATGAGTTAATTAAAAAAGGGGTCATTCCTGGGCAAAAGGATGGGTGTCCTGACCCAAGGGTTCAGGTGATTAATCCTAGTTTGTGCACCTCCCTTCCCTTCCAAATGAGTGAGTCCTGACCAAGCCAGGGAAAGTTTGGCTCCCACAGATGTCAGGCCCTTTTGTCTCTGCAAGCCTCCAAACCTGTCTAGTATTGTTCCCGGTGTGCCATAAGACAGCAAACACCACCATAGAGCCCTCTGGACGGTGATAAATCTGGAGATGGGTCATCAGGGAAATAGTTACTTGTCATCCTACTTACCCCTAGCCCATTGCTGGCACTTTGGAAATCATTCACCCTCTGGTAATATTTAGGGTCTTACCTCATGAATAAAACAATGTAAAAAAATGTGAGTAGTGGAAGATGCAAATAAAGGATTCCTTATAAATGCCTATAGCTTCGTGGCACAGAATCTAATCTTTTTCCAGTACATAGGATGTGTTACTTTTATGACACCTTCATTTTATAAACCCCAAACCAGCTTTGGGGTCACAAATCTCTCTCTTGCATTTGGATCTTTAAGAAAAAACTGAACTGCCAGCACTAGACAAATGTTAAGGGTTTTATAACTAGTGTCATAAAAGTAAGTTTATGGTATTGTCAGAAAATGGAGTGTGCTGCATTTTTTGCTGGAAGGAGAGCTCAGATTTGCTCTCAGGTCCTCTTCATGTGCCTGTTTGGGGGGCTCCTGCACCTAAATGCTTGTCTGAAACTCTTCCCATCTCTTGCCCCTATGGAGCTGCCCCTCAAGCCCCACCCCACCCCCACCCCCCAACCCCAGGCTACAGCTTTGGAAACCTTGTGAATCCCACCCACCTGCTGCAGACCAGGCTGGGGATGACCATGCCCCAAGTGAGGTTCATGTCCTGAATTCAGGAGCTATAAGGAGAAATCCAGCCAAAGAGAGCCTGCTTCTGTGTAGCACAGGCAGCCTGGTAAAGGTGAGGAGGGGATACCCCCAAGGGACATTGCCAGAAACTTCTTAAGCAAAGGGAGGATGACCTCACTTGTAATTTCCAGTTACTCTTTGGTGGCTCTGGCTCCATTTCTGGAGAGTACTTGGTAGTGGAGTGATGTCTAATTGCTACTAAAGTCAAGGAGCTTGGTGTGGAGGGTAACCTCAGAGAGCTGCGATTATTTTTTCCTTGGGAATGCTGCAGATTTTAATGACTTGAAACCAATTTAGGTGGGAAATTGCTTAGCAAGAGGTGATTACTTTTCCACAGTATCAGAACCAAGGAAAGGGATTATGTCATGGTTGACCCACCTCTGTGACCCTTTCCTTCATGCTGGTGGCCACTCAGACAAGGAGGGGCAGCCCTTTCCAGGCCCTGGTGGAGAGAACAGGAAGGAATTTGTAAGGGGAAGGAAGTTTTATTTATTTACTAAGAACCCACAGCATACAGTTTTTATAACAGACCTGCCTGGCACCCAGTAAGTCTCAATAAATACTGGGTTGTCCCTAAATGAGTCATCTGTTTACTGTTTGAGCAGAGACACATAAATCTGAAATCTATTGGTGCCATCAGTACCATCAGTTGGTTACCCTCCATGGACTTCTCGATGGGAGAGGTAAGGAAAATAACTCCAGGGTCCCTTTCAGGCTTGTCCCTTAATAGCCTTCTCTTAGGAAAGCAACCCTGCTGGTCCTCAAGAGGAAAGAAGCTGCCTTCATTTTTCTCAGCCACCTGCTCCTGTCAGACCTGAGCAAAGAGTAGACCAGATGTCAGCAACATTACAGTCCATGGGCTAAATCTTGCCCACTGCCTATTTTTGTAAATGAAGTTTTATTGGGACACAGACACGTTCTTTCATTTACAAACTATCTGTGGTGTCTTTCCTACTACTTCAACAGAGTTGAGTAGTTGTAACAGAGACCATATCGTCTCCAAAGCCTAAAATAGATATGATGTGGTCCTTTACAGAACAGGTTTGAGGACCCCTGGTCTAGAGTAACAGGTGTGCCAGGGATACCACCCCTAGGTCTATGTCTTCTAAAAGCACATACACATATCCAGGTACCCATTATCTGGCTCTATATCATCTAAGAGTGCATGAGCACA